GGCCATTGAGCTTGTAGTCTGCATCATACCTGCTAGCTTTTAGAAAACATATTTCTGAGCTTCGCAATCTACCTCTCAGCAAAATTGAATAAATTTTACTGATTTAGTAATACCTAGCATTTTTTACACTCATAAAATGAATGCCTTGTTTTTATCCATTTTAATTACCAGAAAATACTGCATTTTAGAAGAGTGAAATAAAGTACATTTCCCCGAAGTAACCATTGTTCATTTTCCAAAGTATTTGACAGTTTCAGTGTGCTCAATCAAATAATGCTATTAATTAATTTCTTTCAGAGATACCCTGTGTGTTTCCTTTTTTCACTAAGAAATTTTTAAATAGAATCTTTTCTCATTTTACATAGCTATTCCTGTTCTCACTCCCTTCCCTCCTCCCACTTCCTCCACCTTCTCCTCACCCTACCTCCCTCTCTACTCATCAGAAAGGGTAAGGCTTCCCATGGGGAGTCAACAAAGCCCTGACCAAAGCCCTTTCCCCATACCTAGGCTGAGCAAGGTATTCCTCCAAAAAGAGTGTGCCCATAGATGCCAAATCAAGCAATAGGGATAACTGCTGGTCCCACTTCCAGTGGTCCCACAGACTGTCCAAGACTCCAAACTGTCCCACACTTTCAGTGGGCTGAATTTAGTCCTATGAAGGTTTGCCTGTTAGTACAGCACCTTTGGCTTCTCAGAAATTTGGGAATCAATCTACCACAGGACCCAGCAATATCACTCTTGGGCATATACCCAAAGGATGCACTATCATACCACAAGGACATTCACTTAACGGTGTTCATAGCAGCATTGTTTGTAGAAGCCAGAACCTGGAAACAACCTAGATGTCCCTCAACTGGAGAATGGTTAAAGAAAATTTTGTACATTTACACTATGAAGTACTACTCAGTCATACACAAAAATCACATGTTGACATTTGCATGCAAATCGATGGAATTAGAAAACAAAAATCCTGAGTGAGGTAACTCAGACCCAGATAGATAAACATGGTATGTATTCACATATAAGTGGATATTAGCTATAAAGCAAAGGATAACCAGCCATGAGCCCAGAGAAGCTAGGTGACAAGGAGAACCCTAAGTAAGACATACATGGTTCCCTGTGTTAAGCAGAAACAGACAAGACCTCCTGAGTAAATTAGGAAGGACGGAGGAGGGAAGGTGGAAAGGGAGGGGGAGAGGAGAAGGGAAGGGTGGAGGAGAACATGAGGGAATGGAATGTTCAAGAAGGGGAAAGGAAAGTGAGGGAGAGAAAGGGAAGTGATGTCTTGATTGAGGGAGCCATTAAAGGGCTATCAAGAATCATAGCATTAGGGAAACTCCCTGGGATCCTCAAGGATGACCCTAAGGGAGATTCTTTTTCAGCCTGTAACAAAACACATCAATTGCTAAGTTTTAGTCAAGACCATAGGAAATAGTGAGGAACCAAGTGAGCACATTCAGGAGGCAGCAGCTTGACTTGATGGGGTCTCACACTATTTGAATATGCTCCATTTACAGCCCATTCCTGGGTTGCTTTCACCACAGAAAAGTTAATTAAGCCCTTGAGCTCCGGACATCAGCTGCGAAGCTTACACGTTTTTTCCATTGTTCTCTGTAAGAATTCTCACAGTTTCCTTTTTCAGCATTGTTTTCATTCCTAATAAAATAGGGCATTTTCTGATGTTCCTCAATTAGGTAAAAACAAAAATTCTTGTCTAGCTTGACGTTAGAGCAATTCAAATGTTTTGGTTGCTGAGATCTTCTAGGCACGAGATGCATCCTTTTACACAGGGGTGGAGGTAGAGCACCATCCTAACCTACACGGGCAGGACACTTGCAGACGTGTGATCCTTACATACGTGGTTAGTAGAGCTGAATGCCTTTTGCAAGGACACATTTTAAATCTGCAATGAAGTAATGCTTCCTTGTGATGAAACTTACTCACAAGGAAGATCTCACAGCTGTAGGTCATTCTCGCTCTAGAAAAAGGGAAGAAACTCAGATAAAGTATACACATTTACAATTAAGAGACACTGATCAAGTGAGCAGGATGCCCACTGATTTCTGCATAATGTCCTCACCTTTCTCTCCCCATCTGTTTCATGCCCACCACCTCACTTCCAGTCCATTATTTCCTTTTCACCTACCCTCCCCCTTAATGAAAATTCAAAGAACCACTTTTACTCTCCTTTCTTCTCGTCTACACAGGCTTCTTCTCAAAGAAATCAAATATTTCAATACTGATACTTTCTTAAAGTTTAAATATATACTTTATTCCAAAATTTCCAGTTTTATTTTTTAAAATTCTGACTAAAATCTCCGAATGAACTTCAATTCACCATCTCTTTTGTGTTTTCTGTCAGCTTTTAGTTTTTCCTCTCCTTTCACACTGACCTCTATCAAACCTCCCTTTATAACAAACCGTACATTTGCCACTGGAGATTTTCCGCTACCCGAATTCTCCTACTCAGTCTTTGCATCTCGGTTAGGCTCACACTCAGCTACCTTCTTTCTCATTACTATGTAGTTTTCCATGCCATCTAAGGAAATGATGTCACACTCCCTCAGGCTTCAGTCTCAGGATACAAATCACCTATGTACCACATCCCTTTACTTCTACAATACCTGCAGAAATTTATGGAAGTTAGTTTGATTTATGCTAAGGTTTAAGCTATGACTTATGCTATTTTTCTAACACTAATTTCTTCCTCATGTCTTTGTCGCTGACAGTATTTTTAAAGATGCAGCAAGGTAACAGTAACATCTCCCTTGATATCTTCAGTCCAGAAGATCTTAGATACCAACTAAAGATCTTTGTTTGCTAATCAAAACACCCATCACTAAAGCCCTGTTTAAAACAAGTTAGATTATTTTATAGTAATTACTTCATGGGTGTAGGTCTTGTTTTTTCTAGGTGTTGGGTTCACTGATGGAATTTGACTGGAATATCACTAACATATACCGTATGGTTTCAGGTGTAAACACAGGTCAATTGACGAAGAGGGTTTGCATCCTTCTGCAGGGTAACAATAACAACAAAACTCTTAGTCATTCTATATTACACTTTCTTTGTCCTTTTTATTTAAGACAAGAATTCTGTGAATAAGCAGGACAAATTCTGTGAATAAGCAGAGCTGTAGGAGGATGTGTCAGAGATGTGGCTTTGACATTACACGATGATTCATTGAAGAATTAAGTACACTAGGCAAAACCAATCTGTTAGAACATTAATCAAAATGCCAGTCGTATGTGTCTTTTATTTTACACCCATATACAAAGGACTAGCATGGAGAACAAAGGCAAACTTTTGCCTTTAAGTGCTAGCTTAGATGATCAAAACACAGCCACTAATACGTCATTAATGGGGGACAGATTTTTGCAAAATGAAAGCTGCGGTTACGGTGTCCTAGACTGCAGTTCCCCACAGACTTTCCTCCAAAGCTCTTTGGCAGCTTGTCACCAACAAGGACAAAAAGAAAATTTGTAAAATTGCTCCTTGATAAAACCTATAAGAAGCAACTATCCGTGTAATAGTATTCTCACTCATCTTTGACGCACCATACAGAGACGGTGTGACGAATTTTATTTTGTACCACTGTTTTAAAACACAGATGCCCTAGGAAAGGATTAGACCAGATATTACATTCGGCTCCCTGAGATTTACTGTGACTGTTTAACTTGTTGGTTTCAGGTTTGTTTGTGCACAAGAAAAGCACAGTGAGTATTGTCTAACTGTATATTATTTAAAAACTACTTTAATATATTTTAGTAAATTGAGATGTGATATAGAATCAGTTTTAATTTTATAAATATCAATTTTCCTCCAAAGGTTCACATAACAATTATCTATGGAATTTGTGAAAAATAATAGTAACTATCTCACCCACCATCATGATATTAGATTCTCTCTGAATGGGTTTTTGGCATCTACACTAAAACAGAACAAGTATGTCCATCACTGATGAGACTCAATAATGAAAAGTTACATCAAATTGAAATGAAGCCAATGACACTGTTTATTCACTATTTAAAAATGATGTCTTCAATAGAATAGGGCAGATTTATATAGCCAAAATAGAAGCTGAATCATTGACACATTACTAGTTGGGACTGATGATAAAGAGGGAGTGACCGCACTAGATCTCCTGGCTTTGCCAGTCTCTTATTACCTGCTTTGTGATGCTTCAGTATTGAAATAGGACTTTAAAGCAATTAACACTTTTAGGGCACTGACCATCTATTTAACTCAAAAGTTTTACAGCCTTATCAATCCCTCATGTCAGGAAACAGTTAAATAGCTCCGGCAGACAATTATCAAGGACTGAATCAATGCAATCAGTGGCCAGGGTAAAATGCTTGCATAACTTTGGGCAAGTTTATGTAATTTACTCCTCGTTCTCATCTTGGCAAATGGGAATAGCAGGGCACTCTCCAGGGAATGCTGATATTTAAAAATAATTTTGTCTAGCAACATTCTGGGAGCAGAATGCCAATTTAAAAGAATGAAATGAAGAGGCATGAAAAAACTTAATTATCTATCATGATTTTTTATCAGTCCTTTTTGTGGTTTTAATGAATAAATAAAAATGAAAGCATATTCTTGGAAAGACTGCAAATTACGTCTATTAAAGCCATCACTGGCAAAGGGTTCTGACTTAAATACCTGTTTATTAGTAGTATGGGCATGAGGAAAAATTAACATTTTAGAATTGAGTTGAATTTATATTTTTAATCATAAGTGGTTGTGAAGTATTTTCCCAAGTGAGCTCTGCGTTATGTCTTACATAGTTTATGTAACTTCTGTAGAAGGGACACGATTCTTTGATTTAAATTATATTTGCTACTTCTCATCTCAGAAAAATCTTTATAAATGTAAAAGGAGCTTTCTTAAAGTTACATAATTTCATTTCAAAATAAGATTTAGTACATCCTTTCATAGTCAGAAACATAGAGAAAAATCCCTCCCCCCAAATCTGGATCTACAACCTGTTCATTTTTTTAAAAAATATGGAACGCTTCACGAATTTGTGTGTCATCCTTGCGCAAGGGTCACACTAATCTTCTCTGTATCATTCAAATTTTTAGTATATGTGCTGCCGAAGCAAGCATCATCCTATTCATTTTTTACTATTAGAAAGTAGATATCTTATTATAACATCAGTAATGATCTTGAACTATAGCTCCGCTTCTCAGTGGTTTAAATTACTTACATGGTTTTATAAAACTAGTATGTTTCTTTAGTCTATGAAAACTATCTTGATGAGAGGTCGAAGGATCACTAGCACAAGAATCCATGCTGCAACTTTCTCTTGCTTGTCACCAAGACTGTGGGGGAGCAAAAGTGAGAGAAATGCCATGTAGCCCCTCCAGAGACAGACACTGGAACTTTAGCCAGTAAGCCAGAGCCATGTGGTGATACACAGATTAATAGAAATGGGTTAAATTAATATGTAAGAATTAGCCAATAAGAAGTTAGAGCTAATGGGTCAAGAAGTGATTTAATCAATACAGTGTCTGTGTGGTTATTGAGGCTGAGCAGCTGGGAATGATCAAGCGGCCCTCCTCCAACGATCTTCAACATAGAGACATCCAGTTATGTCAACACATTTGTTGAAGATGCTCTTTTTTTTTCATTGTCCAATTTTGGATTCATTGTCAAATGTCAGGTGTAGATTTACATAGAGGGGGTCTTGTATTCAGTTCTATTGATCCACCTGTCTTTTTATGCCAATTCTGTTTGATGGTTTTATGCTGCTCTTGCTTATTTGTTTATATGTTAATAGTACAGCTCTATAGTAGAGTTTGAAATCTGGGATGGAGGTACCTCTAGAAGTTCCTTATTGTAGAGGATTGTTTTAGCTTCTGGGTTGTTTGCTTAGCCATACAATGTTGAATATCATTCTTTTAAGTTCTGGAAATAATTCTGTTGGAATTTTGATGGAAACTGTGTTCAGATGAATTCTATTTACCAATTAGTTATAAATGATTTCTGATTTATCAATAAGCATATTTTTCTATTATCTTCATGCAATTTGTTATTGGACCAGCTTTATAAATCATTTCCACTATATTTGGAAATGATTGCGTATATTTGGTATTTTTTGAGTAGAAGTTTTCAATAAGGGCATTTTAATTATTTTCTTGAGGATCTTCTTTTTGATTGTTGTGAAGATTACAGATAACACTACTTGTTTATGACACAGTCATTTAAATAATCTTGATGTGGGATAAGAATGTGGTATTTTCTTTTTGCCTGAAGTCTTTGGATTTAACTGGTCACCTTGTCCATGAAACAAGCGTTAATCCATCAGTTTATGCGTTTTGTAGAAATATGCCACTCCTTCAAAAATAGTCTTTTTCTTGACCAGAATAAAATTTGATGCTATCTTGTGATAGCTAGAGAGATAGTATAAGTCACAGAAGTCCTAATGGTACTGCTTGGGAAAGAGTTGGATATTTGTTTGTGTGCGTATTCTTCTTTCTTCCTGATTTAACTCTTTCCCCAATTATCACTTGTATGAATTTGAAGTTTATTATTTTTCCAAATGTCTGAGTAATTGATTTTCTAAAAGTGATATGGCCAGCTGACATAGCATTCGGATTTATAGTGTTTGATAAGGCTGCATATATTGACAAAAAAATGATACTGGAGAGATGTTATATTGGCTTCCATCCACAGTAATACCAATGTTCACTTCATCTTCTCAGGACACAAGTATAAATTTAGGAAAGCAATTAAATATTTCACATCATGCTTAAGGGCACTTCATCCATGGTTTCTTAGAATAAGGTAACATCTCCACTTTAAAAAGCGATATTAGGACATGCGCGGGTATGTTGACTCCTGAGATAGAGATAACATTTCTCCTGTCCATTTCTGGTCGATGTAAATTTTGCCAGCAGGTAGGAATTTTACACTGTAGCAGGTTTATACCTTGGATTTTCATTTTTAAATGTAGGTATCTGATTTTGTTTCAGGCCTTGGATAGAGTTTATCATTTCTCATTTGCTTGGTGATAAAAACTTTATAAGCATAATGAAATTCCTCCAGGCAAAATTGCCTTTGTTATATATAAATTAATAGATGCAGTATTGAAAAAAATATAAGTTATTAACTCAGAAATAGGTTGAAAATAAGTCATTAGCTGAACCAAGAAACAGATGAAAAGGACATGAAGAAAAGGACTTGTAACTTGAAACCAGAATTGTTCTAAAAAACAATAGTTTTTATTAATGTACTATACTTCCTTTTATTAATGTATTACACTTATTATTTTAAAAATAGTTTTTATTAATGTATTACAATTCTCTGAGCTATGTTATTTTAACACCCCTGCTTTTTCCATTTTAAGTTTTTGTGTCAAAATGAAATCATTGGTCTTGAATACTGGTGGCCTTAAAAATCGATCAATATACACAAAGCTGAATGGCAACTTTATGGAAAACATTGTTAAAAGATGTAAATTCGAAAGGTTATAGAACTGTTTTCAAAATATTTGGTTGATTCTGTCACCACCATGTAGTCATAAAATCTTGTACTCATGAGCCTCGTGTCTGCTTTACCAGTGAACATTTCTCTACAGTGTTTGTGTTTACTGAGCCACAGAGTGAGCTTTTGACCCATGAGTATTCTCATATTGTCTGAACATGTTAGAGAATTTTTCATTTATTTTACTCATTTTACTGCTAAAATAAGTAATACAAAATATGAGTTTTAGTGTCTAAACTTGCTTAATATTTTAGTAAATTCTTCATCCTTAAATCACATCAGAACATTGGAGGGGGTGCACTGTGATCACAGATTGACTGATCAAAGAGTACATGAAAGGCATGCTACATATGCTGTTTGTTTAGGCTTCACAACAACCCGTTTTCATCTTTCAAGAAAAAGTATTTCTTAGGACACTTCTCCTACATGCACAGAAACTCCCTATGACTGCCAGACAAAAGACTGATTGGAAAAGTATCTGATGGTTCAGTATCAAGGCAAAGATGGACAGAGCTGTGCATTTTGCCCAGGGCTTCTGGTCATAGTAACTGAAAAGTAATGAGAAAGGTCTTTGTGAAGAAGACTGAGTCCATCTCAGGGAAAGGCTGAGAGAAAAAAGCCTTGGACAACCACGTTTTAGTTGTATTTAAGGCATATCCCATCCATACATTACACAGGTAAGGTGGCTAGGACCCTGAGAATTTAGGTCATCAACCTAGAGTAAACCCTTCTACTATTATCCCACAAAGAAACATAGCAATAAAATAATGTCTAAAGACATTAATAATCATTTATACCCATAAAACTGAGAATGGATTAAACCTCACCAGAGAAGATACTTTTTTAAGTAAGTGGGAACTAACACTGAGACCCAGAATTGGACAATGTACAAAGAAAAGCGAAAGACATTGGAGAACTTGGTCCTAAATAGATGTGTTTGTTGCTTTAACTTAAGTACAGTGGCAGTGCCTTAATCTACTGCTATCTTAGCCAGCAATTGCAACTTCACAGTTATTGGTCTGCTTCTTTAGCAGCAGCCTGGCTGTTCAGGAGGCAACCTGATGGAAATTCTGTTTCTGCAGCCACCAATCCTGTTGCTGCCACTAACGGTAGCTTTAACTAAGCCTCTATCATTCTATTTATGAATAACACTTGAGATTCAAAGGCTGGAGTGGAAACCTCTGAGCTCAGAGAGACTGAGTAGCAAGTAGCTAGCCCTCTCTCCTTACTGGCATCTGTGCTTCTGCTTTGCCAAAACAGAAAAACCTGTGCCACTCCAAACCCCACCCGACCATTTCTGGTGTCCGTCTCTCCTGGATGCCCTCTGAGGTTCTATAATTACTTTCTGTCAACTAGTTGCTACCTCTGCTTCCTGCCACAAGGTTAATGTTATTTAACTAATGCAAATGCAAACTTGGAGTTCCCAGTGTAATCAACTATCTCCCAACATGTCGTCATCAAAATCCTCTCATCAAAGCTCAGGGTTCCATCAAAAAGAGGAGAGGTGGTAGATGACTACAAGAAAACAGTACCTTATACAGTACAGTGAACACTTAGGACACAAAATAAAGAGAATAAAGATGAAAACACTTCTGCTCAAAGTCCTGACATCAGAATGTGTTGACATCAGAAGGAATCGTCTATATGTATCCTGAAAAGGCTTAGAAGTCAGCAGCTCATACCAATTAGAGCCAGGGACCGGAAAGTCTGCAAGAATGAGATAAACATGAATTCGGCTACAGCAACAGAGTGGTGGACCTCATGGTGCCAAGGAGTAAGAAGCCCGCCCTGGACCACCCATCCCAGCAAGGACACAGCAAGAGAGAGGTACTCGGCTGCTGAGCAGTCCCTGTACTAACTAACCCTTGACACTGAGCATCTCCCTCACGGTTTCCATCCAGACCCCCAGAATAGCAGGAGGGGGCTTAGGGAGCCCTACTCTCTTGAATACCATCAATAAAGTTCATTGCACCCCTCAAAAAAATGAGATAAACATATGAAGGGCTCTGAGAAACTAGAGAATCCCAGGCTTCATGCAGCTCAGGTGCTGTCCTCTACTTTATTCCATTTGCAAACAAGCCATGAGAGCTTACAAAAGCACATCATGTTAAACACATCACCAAAGATCTCCTGCATTCAGCCTGATTCTGGACCTGGGACTGTTGAGTGTCAAGTGCCCTGTCCATGACCAGGTAGCCTCCATCATTCTCACGGGGCCTCCATTGCGGAGTCAGCATCCACTCACTGTTCTTTGCCTACTAGCGGACATAGGTATGGTAGCTGGCTGTGCCACTGGGCAATTAGATTTTCACCCCACTTTTGCCACCTCCACCTGCTGCCTGTGAATAGACTCTGTCTGCGGGTATCTGTGACCTCAGATAGATGTAGATTGTTAGTGTTTCAGAACATTTTGCTGCCAATTCTTTAAGGTGATTTTTTTCGCTTTCTCTGAGGCATGATGTGTGAACAATAAACCGTATGTTTGAAGAGACACCTGATTATTTGTGTAAATCATGTGTGTGTGTGTGTGTGTGTGTGTGTGTGTGTGTGTGAGAGAGAGAGAGAGAGAGAGAGAGAGAGAGAGAGAATGGGATTAATATACATCTGAACTCACAAAGAC